AAAAATGAATATTTAAATGAGCATTAGTAAATATTCTAGAGAAACGTAGATAGAATAAATAATAGAATTCAGAGAGAGAGAGAGAGATAAAAACACTGAATAGAAAATTAAGGAAATTATTTTAACAAGTAATTAGAACAATACGAAGAAAGAAATTCATTTAATAAGTTTTGTAATGAAGCAGAAAAAAAGCATGACAAAAAATATATCTGTATTTCATTCTCTTTATTTTAGATAAAAGTATAATGGAATATTTCAATATCATAGAAACAAACTTTATGTAAGATATATCGTATGGTCCATAAGTCAGATAACACAATATTTGTTTTGATTTTTTTCCTTTACATTTACATCTAGTATATTATACCTTATATACTAGGTGATCTAACAAGGGAAGGTTCCTAGGTGTGTTCCAGGGATTTCAATGAAAATTTCACGTATATGGTTCGCTATACAGATTTTTTTCCCGATCACGATGGTTAAAGTTAAATGTTATATTATTCTATATGTAGCAAATAGTTCTACATAATAGTCTTTGTTGTTTATTTTGAAGATATATTTAAGCGTTTACAAAGTGCAGTTTCATAAAAAATAATAAACTACGAGAAAAAATAACTAACGACGATATCGTATTTCATAATTTAATCAAGCAAAAATGAAGTGAATAACAAAGAAGAGAAGGGAAAAGTTCGTATATTCAAATCAAATAATTATTACTAAGATAATAGAAGAAAACAAGGCTAAAAAATAATAAATACTGTATAGATGAACGGAGAGAAGGACATCTATTGAAAAATCTCTTCATATTATATAACTGATATAAATAAACTGTGGATTCGAGAGTTTTGCTGACGCAAAGTTTGACTCACTTTAACAACCCTCATTTTTGTAATAAATAGAGAAACCAGGAATATAGATTATATATGTTTGTTAATTTCTTCTGATAAAACAATACTCTGGAGTGTTTTAGACGAAAAGTATGAAATTGATTATTAAGATCTCTCATTTATACTAAACTGACTGTAGAAAACTAGATTTAACAAAAAAAATAAAAATACCGTTTAAATGAGAATTAATTTTAGAGTATATCTATCGTATTTCTATCGTTGTTCGTCTTATAAAAACTAGATGTCGCTTTCAATAGTGTATTCCATATTGATTCGATGATGTATGCACATATGTGAATAGACTATATATAAAATGAAAGTATTTTCTTATTAAACGACAATCGATAATCTGCATAAGGTATGAAACGACAAATATTTTATTAAAGCTGTTCTTTTTCTTTTAAACCTGATTAATGATAAATTTTTATAACGACAGTAAATAGTTTCTACTTTAATTGTGACTTCTTGATATATTTTCAATAAAATCTAGGGTTGTATCGAGTTTATTATCGAATGAAGTTCGATAGTCAACAATTTTATATTGTAAGTTTCTATTTGTACGTGAATTTTGTTTATTTCAATGAAGAAAGAGAACGGAAAGAAAATTTTATCTGAAATCAGTACTGAATCATAAATATTCATTGAAAAAAAGAAAATATATGTACCATCTTTAAGAAAAATACGATCAGAAATAGAACGAGTATAAGTACAGGAAATAAAAGCAATCTATTTGTGATTTAAAATAGTATAGTGAGTTAAACAGATTTATGTTTTTCTCTAATGCAACAATTATTTTTTTTCTTTACTTCGTTTTTTAAAGGTCTTTCAAAGTCTACGATTGCCTACCATTATACTACAATGGCTGGTAAACTTTTAGGTCGTTTTTCTCAGTCTCATAACGATGCAATTATCGATATTACGGTAGACAACGCAATGTTTTCTGGAACAACTTGTCCACTCACATGGATAGAAGATCATGCTTTTCATTACTTATATAATGGTGATTTCTGGTATTATATACGAAATGGAAATAGTTATGAAGTTATCAAACATGATGCCAATATAGGTCATCACAAAATACATCCTGAAGGTAAGCATGACGATTTGTTAAGGACCGCATCGTGATCATGATAGTATAGAAATCTGTCTTTTACTGAAACAATATATTTTACAGTTTAGTGGGGGCGCCCATTAACAGGAGAAGATTTCAACAAGATTAAATCATTGGTGAAATGAATTTTAGTGAGGTAGAATACGTTTCATAAACTTAATGGAATTATCTCGTTACATTGAATTCACAGATATAATAGTACTCTTTTGTTTGTTATCCAACCAAAAGATAATCATCATCATCATTGTTGATTTCATTTTGGCTAAGATTGGTAGGCTACTCTAAAGATCATAAGATGTACATGTGGACAAAATTTCAGATTTTTTATAGTTTTATCAGGTTCTTCTTGCAAGAAAAATGTGTGCTCAAAAGCACTTAATCATTACCAGTACCTCTCTTGTGTATTGAACAACTATGCAGCTAAATCATTTTAGTTTGTATTATAAGAGCAAACTAGTTCTATCCTTTAAAACTACCTTATTGCTTTTTTTTGAAATAATAAATATGCAATTTTTACCGGTCTATTTTGTTTTATTAAGCGAAACACTCTTTCTATTTTTTTCTGATGGGAATCGGAACAAAATTAATATTATAAATGAAAGAAGTGCAGAGATTGTACGTGTCTGTACATTCAACTTACGTTGTGGTCATGCTGATTTAAGAACATCCAATAATTGGGAAAGACGAAGAACAATTTTGAAAAATTGTCTAGAAAATATGCAACCAACAATTATTGGAACACAAGAAGGTTATCCACAACAACTCGACGAGATCCTTGATGATTTAAATGAGTTACATTACTCAATAGTTTAGTCACAATTAAATTAGAATGTTCTTTTCTATTCTTAGATCTTCATCATGTTGGTCATACGTAGGTGAAGAAATCACTCAATGGCGTACAATCAATGCTATATTCTATCGTCATGATATATTATCACTTATTTCAACAAATACTTTTTGGTTCAATGAACATCCATTGACATTTGGTGCTGCTTGGGGTGCTATAGGATCTCGTGGTTGTACTCGTGCTCATTTTCAACATAAACTTACAGGTCATCCATTTATTATTTACAATCTTCATCTTGATTATCCATCTCAAAATGCTCGACATCATTCCATACCTGTTCTTCTATCACAGATAAATCAGAGTGATAATCAAATTGATAATGTTATTGTCATTGGAGATTTTAATAATTGGCCAGAAAAAATTGCAGGTGAAATACCTGTAGATGAACTGATTCTATTAGGACAGAAAGCATCTGAAATTCAACAAATGAAACAAGCTGGTTTTGTTGATACATATCAACATGGTGAAATCCCATCATTTAATGGTTTTCAATCAACTGGTTATGGTCCAAAAATTGATTTTGTTTGGATATCATCAAATAGTATTTATCGTGTTGAAGGTGAAACAAAAATTGATGAATTTCATGATAATAATGGCTCTTTTCCATCGGATCATTTTCCTGTGTATGCTGATTTAGTTCATATTTCATAAATCAGTTCATGTTATTTTTATTTTATTTTTACCATCTATATATATATGCCTAGGAGGAAACAACGGACTTCAAGATTTCAACAAGGGAGATTTCAGTTTTTCAAAAGACCTCAAAGACTTCTAGAGACTTCGCAAGATTTAAATACTTAATCAAGAGTTTATAAGACTTCATGCATGAAGTCTTATAAACTCTTGA